CCTACAAGGCACAGATATTACTGAGCTGAATGCATGAATAGGAATATATCCTCTGCCTAAAGTGCTAAGAAAGCATTTTGCTATGCAATTGAACTGGAAATGCACATTCAGAAGTCAACTTTTTCCACTCTGTGAATAATTACATTAGTTAATTTGGGTGGTCATGAGAAATAAGGCTAGTCAGAACTGTGATGTAGGTGATTCTAATGACAATTCATGTGCAGTATTAACTAGGTCCCATTACAGAAACCTGATATTGGTATGTCATGTAAGGTACAATGCTTTGTCTGCCTCTAAATTAATCTTCTATCTAACTTTCTCAAGCTGATTTTTTCCTTTCATACGTGTGTAGATGTTTTAATTTTACCAGCATTTTTCAGCTTCTTCTTATGAAGCCATTAGACTATCATCATCTTGATGGCTTTTCTAGAACATATTCTTATGTACTGTTATTCTTGAGTACTCTTACTCAAAGCAAGTTGTTCAAATCTGTACTCATTAACGGAAAATAAAAGGCTTATTAACTAGATATGTATACACTTTGGCAATCCCAGAAGTGGCTTAATCTCATCAAATCTCGTAACTGGCATGCTTTCCAGCAGTCTGAGTTTGTATGAACCTGATGTTTCTCCCATTACCCTCACTCTGCTCTGGAAAAGCCCAGTCTAGGATATCTCTTGGAAGACTGGGCTGTCTTCCAAGCCAGAAAAGCAGAAACCTGTTGTTAATGGTTTTATCCCTGGTGTGGACAGGCTCTATCAGGGAGCAGCAAGAGTGGGCTACTCTCCAGGGAAGGTGAACTAGGAGCCAATGTGACAGCAAGTCTGTCAGGACAGTGTCCTCACCATCAAAGGCACAGCTCCACAGTGCCTGTGTGCAATCACAGCCACACAGGTTCATAGCAATGAGGCAGGTCCACAGACTGTGACACTGAACTCTTCTGCCCAGCAGATGACAGGATACACTGGCTAGAAGAGGAAGCTTGACAAGTTTAATGTACGTAAAAGGCAGAAGTTTAACAGAAATATTTAAATAACTAGCCATTAGAAAAGATTTCCTTAGACTGAAATGGGCTCTTTATCATGGAAATTCAAAAATTGAAGACAGGATGCATTTCTGGCACTTCATATAGTAATTCCAGGCAGCTCTGTGGTTTAAAGAAAAAGTCAGACGAGGTGATCATTGTGGTTCCTTCTGCCCCTATTAATTTGAGTCAGGAAGTCTACTGCCACTCAGTCTCGTACAGCTTCTATATAGATGTGACATGGTTTCATTCAAAATTCCATTCCAAATCAGATAATATTAAAAAAGTAATGCATCTATTATTTAGAGGTTGTATTTGTCAAATATATAAAAAAATGTCTTTCAGTCAAAATAGATAGTGATGAAGAGTTTGTTTCAGGTAGCTACAGAAAAATTCTTAACTTTAAGTAGACAGCCTCTTAGACCAGATCCAACTTCATCTTCAGAATTATGTCATATTTGAGATTTAACCTTAAAACTGCTGGATGCCTTGAAATTACACACCAAAAACATCTTCAGTGGTCTGTGGTATACAGCAGGTCTATGAGGAGAATCTGGCTTTGCTGTGTTTGTCCAGATACACATGCCCTCTGCATGCTGAAGTGAGCTTCTCTTATCTGGGCACCATTTTGTTGGGAAGAAAATCTGTATGTACAGTCTTGGTGGGGAGAGGGCACAGCAAATGTTCTGCTCAGGCTTCCCCCAGTCTGAACTGTGGTGAAACCAGGATAGATGTGGTGTACCATGAAGCACACCTGCTTCACAGCCAAGGTTTATGCCACACTTAGCAAGTCTTCTGAAAAGCACTAGGTGTAACGGACTATGGGTGGAAGAGGTGCAAATGAAAGCACTATATTTATCAACTAATTACAAGTAGAGAGAGCAATAATTTCAATTTTAAGTAAATGTAGAAAAAAATCTTCTGCCTTAAACGATAAATATTTTAGGTTATTGATTTTGTCTATTACTGTTCTTCACATTTTCTCTTGTCATGATGCAATTTGACTAACTTCAGAAGAGCCTAAAAGTCTTTCCATATGATGTTGCAATTCTAGTGAAACTCCAAAGGCCTAGTAATTTCATCCCATTGCCTATACAGCAGACTGCCAGCCGTGCAGTGTATTCTCCTTGTGGATGAAAACAGGAAAAAAACAATTCTTCCGTATGCATAAGGAAAAAAGGGTGGGTGGCTTTTGTTTGATTGATTGTTTGCGAAAGTATGACAGTGATCTGTTACATTGGAGACCCAGCTTTAAGTTCTTGCCTTGAAATCATACAGCAGGAACTTGGAAGCCAATTTTTCCCACTCTCAGGTAGTAGACCTGACTGCTGGACAATCGCCTATTATCAAGCATGCCAAGACCTTTCTGGACCTGGAAAGAATTTCTGACAACACTTTGTTGAGAATATTTTGATAAACAAATACTTTAGTTTTCCCCAGATACTTCTGGTGTGCACTTCCTAGGTGAATTTCTTGCACCTAGATTACATGTTCATGTCAAAATGCTTCTCAAGGCTAGCGATGAATACTCAGTAGTAAGAAAGAAAGGAAATAATTTTTGCAGTCATAGAGTGAAAAAAGATAAGAGAGGAAACTTCTTGGCTTTCCTTTAGCTCACAGGTTTCACAATACAGTAAGAATGAAGTTATGTCAGATTCAGGTTAGAACATTTGTTTTTTATCCTGCTATTGATGTAGTTCATTGGAGGATAAAACAGTGTTCTGTATTTTCTATATGTTGCCAAGCGCTTTCATTCTTCTAACAAAATATTGGAGTTTCTGTTTTGATCACTTACCAGTATCCTTTCAGCTCTGATACAGCTTTAACAACCAAATAGCTTGGGGCAAAGGGGAGGGAAGGATTGTAGTCATCACTGACGTCAATGGTGTTTATGCATCACACTCCCAAAATTGCCCTTTGCAAGGAAAAAATTAGTGGTTCAGCAACGGATATTCAAACACTTAAATTTGGTCACAATTGCATTGTTGTTCTCTAAATTGTACTCTTCTTTCAAATTTTGGTCCAAATATTGTTTTTCATACATAAATAAAAAAAAATTTGAATGACTAAATAGGTATGTTCCACTTTTGATATTGATGAAATGCTTGTCAACAGTACTGCTGTTAGCACTAATGCTTTAAATTGATCATAACATTATTGCACTATAATTCCAGTTATGAGTTCCCCAGTAATTAATACTTTTTTTTTAATCTAACACTTTTCTCTAAAAGGTGGAAAAAAAAAAAAAAAGAGGGCACTGCTGGACACAAAAGAAAAAGAGTTGTATTTTGAAAAGCTAACAACAGATGGAATCTTTTTCCTTTGTAGAAGTCATACAAATGCCTAAAATCCAGTTCTCTTTGTTTCTTCTCTTTCTTTGGAGGACTTGGCCTGTTCAAATAGGAAAAAAAAATAATTAGAAATTAGACTGACCACTTTGAAGATTAAAATTTTCCTTCCTCAAAGATTCAAAAAGAGAGAAGCACACTGCATTTTTCTCTAACATGGCTCTTGCACGATGGCTGTATCTCAGGGGCCATGTACTGTGGAGTACATCGGCTGTGGTGCTGTGCTCACCTCAGTTCTTTAGTCAATGAAGGATCCAAAATGCAAAGATTTTTGGGTACCCAGTTTCTACTGAAGCTGGTGGATGTTTGGTGCTTAAATTATCCAGTCTTGGCCTGAACAGAGACTTGTGGATGCAAGTGTAGTTCCTTTAGAAAGATTCTTCAGCATCTTCTGGTTAGTTGTCATTTATCCTTGATTTTTTTCACCTTCTCCCACTGCTCTTATGAAATGAATATGAAGCAGAAACATGTATTTTTTCTTAACAATTACTTTATTATGTCCATTGCCCCACTGATTTCTTGGAGCTTTTGAGAAGCTTAGCAATTTCCACACCCATGACTGTTTAAAATGTGTTGTTTTTCCTAACTCACATCCAGACTAAACACCTCTCTAACAACAGGCTATTTAGCCAGTCCTGTCCCTAATGGGTACTGGAGTGACTCTTCTACTTCATTTTATCACTTCATTTTATGTTTACCGGGAGGTTGTAATTTCAACTGAAGCTGAACTAGAGACATAGTACTCAAACATAGTGCTGAGCCCTCTTCTACAGGATTGTTGATCTAAGAGTTTAGAAGCATAATAGTGATGAGATATCAGAAATGAGAATAACAATTTATCTTGTCATCTTCTGTGTCGGGATAAGATCACACTTCTTTCTGTATGTCAAAAATTATTCTTTCACTTCTTTTCCTTTTGAACTGCAACTACTTTGAGGCCAACAGGTTTGTCTAGAGCTGGAGAGGAGGGAAGAAATGTGTTTGGAAATAAATAATTCCTCATCTTTTCTTACCGTACTACCGTAGAAGACATGGAGTTCCATAAAGGTGCCTGTGTGCAGGATCATATCTAGACGGTATCAATATTAATTATCCTTAACCTTTCATTTCTGTATACATACATGTATGCTTCCATTGACTGGGGAGGGAGAGAAGAAAACATTGTACTCAGCAAAATTAAACTCAGGTATAATTACTTCAGTATATGTTTGTTTGCTTGTTTGTTTGTTTGTTTTCTCTTAATATTCTGCCATTTGTTTCCAGCTCCACATAGTCTTTTGTGACTGGCAACCCTCATCCCCACCTCACTGGGACCACTCCATTCTCACAAAATCCCACATGCATGAAAAAGTGTTTTATAGGAATGCTCTTTTTTATTTGCTTATTATAATATTTTTCCCCAAATAAATAGTGAAATGAAACTTCAGAAAAAAAATAACGTGTAACCAAGAATTCCACAAACTCTGCAGGGCTCTCCCCTGTAGTCCAGCTCCATGCATCAGCAGGCTTCCAGAGTAATTTTTAATCTCAGCATGGAGTCTATTTGAAAATCACTTCAAAGCAAAAGTGGGTGATGGCAGAGAGTGTGCCTTGCAGACTCTGGATGAAGATGAAAAGGGAACTGAGCATTGGAGTTTGGCTTTTGAGGGTGTTTTGTTAGTCACCTGATAAGTGAAGGGATCAGCAAGCAGACTGCCATTGTTCTCAAACCTACCCTAAGTACAGGCTTAGGAAAGCAGGAGGTATATCCAAATACAAGAATCTTGTGTTTCATTTTGGAGCGATTTCATATCAGCTTAGACCTGCTGTGTTTTAGTGTGGTATCACGTATGTATAGTATGTATTTCACACTGACAATTCTGATTTTCGGCTAAAATCAAAAAACATCTAGCAGTTTTTTTGTCACAATATAGAATCACCATCCTCTTTTTAAAGAAAATGACTACTGGAGGAAAGGGCCCCCTGTGTGCTTGGAGCCCTGCTTTGTCTGCATGCTTGCAGCCAGTACTCTCCTCTGATGGTGCACAGCGGGCAGCCCCTGACACCTCCTTACATTCATTGCAAAGGAGGGTGGAGCTGTTGAAGGAGAAAGCAATTTAAACTGGTAATTTCTGATCTCTAAAGTAGAGACAATTCACCTAGCTCTCTCCTTCTCTGCAACATCTCCTCTCCAGTTACAAATCATAAGTTGGTAACCAGAAGAACCTTACTAGACCTGTAATTTATCCTTTTTCCATCTCTCCATGGTGAAATGAAAAGCGCTACATCTGGAAACACAGTATGGCAAAAAGTGTATGTTTTCTTGGTTTTTCTGATTTAGTAGTCAATATCACACCAAAATCTTTTGAATCACAGGCATTAGAAGAGCCAGCCGAGACTGCTAGTGTGACTGAAGGCACTGCTTTGGACACCCATTCAGAGGTAATGCTGTTATATCTCTTTGCAATCTCTATTTGCAAATGAAAAGCAAAAGTGAACTGAGTGATATGTCCTCATTTTTCAGATGTGCTCCCCTGCCCAGCTCAGACAACAAACAGAAGAGCTGTGTGCTGTCATTGACCAAGTCTTGCAGGATCCATTGACTATGGTAATCCATCAGTCTGGGGGACTGGCTTTTTATCTTCCTTTTATTTTTAATCCTGTTGTTACTAAGTCTGTTCTCTGTTGAAAATGATTTTTCAGCGCCGATGCGAATCTTCTCCAAGTTTCCTGCAGATGAGTATGGAGTCGGATGGTGGCAAGGTAGGAGAATAAGCCCAAATTCTCTTTCCAGGTAGATGTAAAGCAAACAAAGACTTGTATTGAAGAAATGTTTTTGAATGCTTACACTATATCCAAAGTGGTTAAAATTCTACTACTAAGTTGGACTTTTGAGCAATAGCATCCAAAACCTACTTCCTTAAGCAAATGTGAACTGAACCTTGACCAAGTGGATGAAATCTGTTAGTAGTCATGAAAATGAATAAAGGGGGCAAAAAGTGGGTTTAGCAGGATGCGGAATAGGGGCCAAGCTAGATAGTGTGAGGACCTCAGAATTAGAATGCAAAGTGCTTAAGCAGAGGGGAAAAGAGATCCATTGACACGAAAGAAAAAGGAGTATATATTATAAGTAAATGCCTTAGAAATAGAATGGGTTAGTCAGAGGAAGGCAAGTTCTTGCAGATGAGAATGTGGAAAGATGACATTTCAGGTTGTTTTGTGTGCAAATATAACTTAAATTTCCTGGGGCCACTGCACCTGTGTCTGTTTACTAATAAACATTTTATTATGGGAGTTATCAAAGATAATTAAAAGGCTAGCTTGAATGGAGTGGGGTCAATGCTTTTGAGCAGTAGAAATGAAATACAGTATTTTCTACAATAAGCATCTCAAGCAAGACTTTGATATGGCTTATTTTCATGTATCTAATTAATCTTTATAGCAAACTAAGTTTTCTTGAATTTGAGCAATTAAATAACTTATCACAATGATGAAAATCTCTCTGTTAGAGTAACTCTTTGCTCCTCATACAACTATTTTGTATAAGGTGTCAACAACACTGCAGAGAGCCGCTGGACGTGAAACAAGATATGTAAGTACTTTTACAATTACTCCATGTTTTGCATGTGGAAATATATCATTGGTCTAATCTTACACTGATGCTAAATGAGTCTGCACATAGTAGTCACAGCTTGTGACACGAGGTGTTGTCTCTAGTACAAAGAAGCAAGTGTGTTAGAGCACTGGAAACTGAGGCCTGAGATGTCTTCCCACTGCTGTAAATCCATCATGACTGGAATCCTCTCAGTGCAGTGTCTATTGATAATTTTACCTGTGTGAATATGATACTAAAATTAATTTATTCATACTCTTTGTTGTTGTTTGCTTTGAGTGTTGGGCAAGAGCTGAGCTATTTGGCAAACACTTTTAAGAGCGCTGAAGAGTTTATTTGTTTGGAGTCTGCTTGCCCTGTGGTGGACTTGTTTTGGTAGAAGTCCTTTGGTTATTCCTATTCATCAGAATTTGAAATTGACCCATACTTTTCCTTCCAAGATATACAGCTGTCTGAAAACCCACGATTCAGCCTTAGAAGAATAGGAGCTATTTTGTCACATATACACACATTCTGACATATGAAGAAAATCTCTGTGTTGAGTCACCAGTCCAATTACTGAAACATTAAGCCTAATTAGGATTTTCATTCTCACTTATATAGTTACTGCAGGTTCCATATTTTACTTATAACTCATCTAGTCTTGTGGTGAGAAATTTCTGATTACTATTAATCATGAGATGAATTATCTGTTGAACCTCAGATCAAAGTAGTGTTGGCAAAGCAACAGAGGCCTCCCAGTTTTATGCCAGCACAGTGCTTGACTGAGCGAAAACTGTGGCAGACATATACCATCAGTTCAGACATCCAATTTATATGCCAGGGAATGCAGCTAGATTTTCTCTGTTGGCATAGAGAATCACCCTTACAAACTCTTCCTTCTCAGTCTCTAGTAGAACTTTCTAGATAAATAAACCAAATCAATATTCAAAAAATATGTTTGGGAATAATGCAGATCTTTATTGGTAGGCTAACTCTTCCTATAAATTGTACAAACATGTTGAATTTTTTCTGTGTCAGAAAACAGACTGTGGTCTCCAGGCTGTGCTGTGGTGACTGAACTTGGTGGGTCCAGGCTCTCCTGGATTCTGCCGTTGCTGCACTCTGTAACAGAACCTCCTGAAGGTTAGGCCAGGCATCCTTAACAGCCCCCATACATCACAGCTCTTCCCTCCTCTCTCGCTCTGCTTCCTGGCTAGGACATACAAAGGTTATTTCTCTCCCAGCTACTACACCAGGTGTTGGCTTTTCCTCTGTCCCTTAGGGCAAGGGCACACTGGGGTGGTTTTCCACGTAGTTCTTTTTTCCTCCTCCTCCACTTCTCTCCACTCAAAGTGAGCCTTCCACCCCACACAAGACTCTGGGTGGCCTCATTCCCTCAGCTCACTGAGAGTGGCATGCTCCATGTTACCGTGCAGACCATGATGGACACCTGCCTGGAAGAGGGGATAGTTGGTGTGGACCAAATCATGCAAGGGAGAGTGTTAACCATTAACTGGAAAAGACCTATTCTTGAGCCTCTGTATGTGCTAACTTTTGTTCACTAGAGGAGACCTATTCCAGGAGCCAACATTTCTTCTTAGTAGGTATAAGTTGTCTATTTTGAAACAAGGTGCCTACTTAGAGTCAATCTAACAGTGTCTCCAGCAGAAATCAGGAACTGACTATTGTACAGACACTTGTTATCATAATACCAAATTGTGAATTTACCTAGGAGGTCTGTGGTGTCTCATGTGAGCTACCTTGGAGTAAGGATTTTCAGCCATGCTTTTTTTCACCAACCTTTTTTTTCTTTTTGAAGTAAGCTTTTAGTTTCTGCAACTGAATTCATTTTACTGCAAAGAATTAAAATAGTAATTTAGCAATATAATTTTCTTAATTTTTTGTATTAACGATCAGTGATTTTGAGATGTTTATCAAAACGATGCTTTGAGATCCCTTTTGTTTAGAAAGAAAATCTTTAATTTGTTTTTGACTCAGGGATAAGAAAATCTGTCATCATGCTGAAATGCTCTTTATAAACACACACACAAATGTATATGTATGCACATATTATTAAATACTTCAGTTTGTTATATGGACTAGTAGACTATACAAATATGTTTTAATAGACTGCCATTTGACAATTAAAATGTCATAGATTTGCCTTGGCCTTAATTACTTTTTGTGTTCACATGTAGCTCAGAACCTTTTAAGAATGTAAATGATTTTACAAAGAGCTAGGGAGTGTTTAGAAAGTATGGGAAGATGTTTGACTTCAGTGAAGTTACAGCAGATTATACCAGCTGACAACTAAATATTATAGCTGTCATTTAACAACTTTTTAAAATGTGTGGTCTTTGATATGATCCAATTCACCATTTTAAAATAGAATCATAGAATATCTCAAGTTGGAACAGACCCATAAGGTTCATTGAGTCCAACTCCCTGCTCCTCACAAAAACTTTACTAGAAAAAATTACAGTTCTTACAATCATCGTTAAAAGTCTAAAAACACAGCTAAAGTGCACCATGAAGGTTCAAAACCAAGTGGCATATGAAAGAAACAAAGAATGCCTTTAATGTTTAAACTAATATCTTTTTAGTCAACCTCATAATTCTGGGAGTCTGACATGATATGAGTTTGATAACAGAACTGAAGATGCCAATTTGAAGTGGTTCCATTGCACATAAGGTGTTAAGATGGACCTGGGGAAGAAGGGTGGGAAAACAGAGGGAAGAGGGAATAAAGATAAATATATATACATATATATATATACACACACATAACAGTGCATCTCTGTTGACTTTAGGGTTGATACTACCTATTTATAATAATGTAATAATATAATCATCTCTGAATAAATTAATTTTATGGCTATTGAGTGCCCTAATATGTATACTTAGCCATAGTTCTTCCATACAATTACTGTCACAAATAAAAGCTTTCTTAACTTTAGTTTCAAATTCTAGCAAATTTTGTCACTTAGCCTACATACAATTATTTAAAAAGTATTTTCTCTTGATTAAGTGGAATAATTCCTTTGCATAATATTGATATTTTTTTTCTTCTTAAAACTTTCCCTGTGTATGTCATGATTTTTTTAAAATAAAAAATGAGAGAACATGAAGCAGCGAAAAATGCACACAAATGTGCAGAAATAGGTAGTCCTCTTCTTTAGCAGACCTGTGATCTGCTGTGCTTATATGTGTATTCCAGGCAACCCCTTTGAAATGAGATTTACTCTTAATTTGCACCACTGAAGTGAGAGAATTTAATTCCAGCCTGCTAGTATCTGTAGACCATTCTGAAGTGCTTTGATGTCTTTAAGCTCACAATGAGATTGGCCGTTACACTTGGTTAATGGTATGAGAGTCCCTAGTATATAAATAGCCACTAGTAAAACCCATAATTTATTCTGTCAAGAGCACAAGAAGTACTTGTAAATTTAATGCTAAATCACAGCTGTCCATGTGTGGGTGAGAAGGTTTCCTCCACCAGTGGCTGTGTTTAGAGAAGTGAGTGCTCTTAGTGAGGAGCATAGTCCTCCACCATGACTTGTGCTGATGCTATTCTCACCACCAATGCAGGAGTAGAGCCAACAGGTCTAGGGAATGAGTAAATATCTCTGTTTAGCACTGGGAAGACCACACCCAGAGTTCTGTGGCCAAATTTCTGCAAGGTATTTGTCACATGGTGAAAAAAGGAAAAGAGTGTTCTTCCCTTTCCAAACTCATTGGAATAGCTTTTCTGCTAGGAACAGTGAGAGAAACATGGTAGAGTTGGTAAAAATCCAGCTGTCATGGTCCTTCTGCTGAGGGCACAGGCTGTAACTGACTTTTCTACTACAACTATAAGATCTAACCATTGTATCTAGTACTTTTTTTTTATATACCATACTGAAGAATATTCACATTTTAGAGTCTTAAGGCCTCCAAATCACATCTATACCAAAGGAGGGCACTGTGTTATTCAGTGGAACTCCTGCAGAGCTTGAAGGGGTTGATTGGAGGGATCAATGCACCAGAAATTCTGAATCTCACCACTGTGTGGGCAAGTAAGCATGTGGCACATGGCTATTTCACATACACACACAATACTTTGCATTCATCACATTACCCTTGATATGGAAAATAGGACTTCTGTTCAATGTATATTCAGAAAAAAAATTAATGCTTTAGTGATATCATTCTGGATTTCATAATGTAACATCAAAAGGATTAGAAGGTTTGACTCAGCTTCCAATACAATTGGTTATGTTAATAACATTGATACTTCAAAATAACAGACAATGGCAGGCTCAGAAATACCAGGATATACTTTTCAAGATCAGACTGAGATGAAAAAGTGAAATTTTGTTGCACTTGAAAAAAAAATTATCTCTAAAATTTTAATAACAGTCATCCATATTTGATTATACCTAGAAATAAACTGGAAGTTGCAATATTATGACTTCTCTTACTAATTACATGCCACTGCATCAGTGACAAAAGCTTCTGTACCTAAGCATACTGCTGTCCATGGATTTTTCTTCTATTATAATTTCAACTGCTAAGATACTGTATGTAAAACTATATATATTTACCTTTTTCGCAGGCCAACCTTTACAAATCGGCACCTGTGGTAACAGAGAGCCAGCTGGTATGTATTGCACAGCTGTGATATGCTGTTTTAAAATTTGCACAAGAACCAAATCAGAAATAATTATTATTTACTTTCTTAGTCCTTTGAAAGAAGCTGCAGTCAACATCCTAAAAAGCTGCATTGCTTCTACAGAGCTTCTTTGCTTTCTTCTATTCTGAATACACGCCTATTTTAAGTAACTTTAATCCTGACACTACTTGTAAACCCATGAACCAAATGATAAACTAGCAAGTCTTGCTGAATCTTGAGCTGTATGACAACTATGGAGTCTGCTGCTGATTCTTGAACTCTTTAAATCAGCTTCTGCGATTTTGTTTATATGCAACAACATTATGGCATCTGTTTTCTTCTTAGTCACTGATTTAAATCAAAGATAGCTTAACTAGGGAAAAGCAAGGGTAAAATCAAACAAAGAAAGAGAGATAATGTATCAGATGTTCATTTTAGCTCTGATCAAAATTTAGTCCTGTTGGAGCCAAGCTTTCTGGAGAAGAGTTAGAGGAGAGGTCATGGAAACTGTCCATGTGGCAGTGACCACTAATGAATTCTTAGGGAAGAAAATGATACGTGGATGAGAAATTTTCTCCCTTGTATTTCGGCTAATGGAATTTTAGGGACTTCCTGAATAAATTTCTTCTGTTGAATAGTCTTTGACCACTTTTTAAATGATTTTTTTTTCAGTTACTTTATGAATCTTGTTATACTTTGGTCTCTACAACATTCTGTAGCAATAGGGTTTACTTTTTAACTACGCATTTTCTGAAGTAATACTTTATTTCTTTGTTTTCTTTGTTTTAATCCTACTATTTGACCTCAGTTCTTGTACTGGAGTAGTAAAGAATTATTCTTTCTTCACTTTCTAGATTATTAATTATTTATGATCATCTAGATATCAACCATAATAACATATCTGTCATCAATTTTTCATACAGAAAAGTCAAAATTGCTTAGTCACTCTTTGAGAAGTATGGATACTGTCCAATATCTTCGATGGTTTTTGTAGCCCTTTTCTTGATATTTTTCTTTTTTCTTTCCCTTGGTTTTTTTTTTTTTTTTTTTTTTATTAGTAAATTAAAACCATGAACTGTTCTTGTCTAGCTCTGAATGCAGTGATTCCTAGTTACATGTTGATGTGACAAGGTTCTTTGCTGTTATTTCTATTCCTTTCTTAACAATTCCTAGTAATTTATTTAGTTAATCCTATTTGTAGTGAGCAGTAAGCCGATGTTTGCATGGAACTGTTTATAATAAACCCAAGTTATATTTTCTGAGTGTAAGAGCTAACTAGTTTCTGAGCTAACTAGTTCAATGCTGTGTGTGTAAGTTTAGGATGCAGTTTAGTTTTCCACTGTGAAATATATTAATGTTGAACTTAGGTGTTTCACTTGACTTTTTGCTGTTCATTCAGTCAGAATCATAAGATCTCTCTGCAACTCTTTGCACTGATATTTTGTTTTTAATTCCCCGAATGACTCAGTATTATCATCAAAATTTGGCACCTTACTAGCTACTCTTTACTAGCCAATCTACATTCATAATTCAAAGCCCAGATTCCAGAGCGTGTCTCTAAGGAACTCTACTTGTACTGTCCCTCCACTGTGAAATCTGAACATTTTATTCCAACCTTTTCCTTCCCATCTTTTAACTGGTCCACAGGAAATATTCTCTTTTGCTCCATAGCAGTTTCATTTCCTCAGTATACCTGGTTGAAAGACCTACACCAAAGCCTTTGGAAGTCCACATGCAGCATGACTACATATCCACTGAACTTTATAATCTCTAATGCAGCCTCATTTTGTTATCCCTAGTCATGTATTCAGGGACACAGTGGGGGAAAAAAAAAAAACCAAACACAAATGCTGAGCCTCATATAAGATGGTTTGTTGATTCTCACTTGATTTCATCTAATGTGTGTTCCTAGGTGCTGAAATATTCTCATATTGCTGATTTAAACATATCCTATGTCTCCCATATAAACCAGCTTTCTCGCATCACTGACTCGTCAAAATACCAGTAAAATATTTATCAGACATGAGTACCCTTTCAAAAACCTTTCCCTATTATTTAACCAAATGTATACTAATTTTATCCTTTAGTATAATTTGTTCCTACTACTTTGGACAGCTTGAAATGTCACATGTAGTGATTTATGTTTCCTGATCCCCTTCAGGGTTCTATAGTGAAGGCTGCCCCATAGTTGTCACTTCTCATTCTTCTGGTGCTTACTATGTCTGAAGGAGTAACTTAAATGCCACAATTCATGGTGTGCAAATTTCACACTGGAATTGCTTTACAACTTTATTTATTCCTTGCACTTTATTTGCTTGTTTTATAGATTAGTTCTCCAATCTGTCTTCTTGATGCTGTACTCGAGACAGTGTAAGAACTTTCTAAGTCTTCCTGTGAGAAAAGCTGAAGTGAGGAATTAATTTTCAGCCTTGATCTCCTCTTCTTCATGCTTAATTGTCTTGATTATATCTACTGTTCCCACAGACTTTTAGCTGTAGAGAAAATTTAGCAAGTTCTTTTCTCAAAGTCTTTCTTGGCCTAATATATGACACTTTTATTTTATGGGCTAGATTTTTTTCCTTTTTTTTTTTTTCCTCTAGACTGTGTTTGAATAAAACTTTCTGTCTTTAGAGTCTTTTCCTCCATGCTCCTTTTTTCACTTTGCACTTTTTGAACATCTCCATATTGATTAATCTCTTAAAGTCTTATAAGTTGATGCATATCTTCTCTGAAATGCTAGTCTTAAGCAGTATTTTGATCACTTATAATCATCTCATGCTTTTGGAAACTCCTTTGATTTTTTTTTCTTAAAATACATTTAAATTATTTATATGTTTTATTTCACTTGTTTTAAATTGTGATCACTGTAGAGGAATTCTGCATATTTTTTGATTTGGAGAGCAATGCTGTCTCTAAGCACACTGTGATTTCTGTTCATGAATGATTCTTTGGTAGTAACGTTTCAGCTTAGGAATTTTTCAGGATTTATGATTTAGCTAATTACTTTTCCTCTTGTGGGGTCTCTGACTAGGTATACCAGGGCCCAGTTATTTATGGTGACCAGAAATGTTCGGTCTATACCTCTCAACTATGTGACTTGAATCCAATGGACAGATAAAGCACTGGGCATGCCACTGTGACTCTCATCAACAGATGTTCTACTCTTGTAAAACATGACTATGAATGACTCATGATAGCAAAGTGCAAAGCCATACCCAGCACACCAAACACAATATAAAGCACATTAAACACAGGGTTGCTGTTATCTTTAACTATGATTCTTTTTATTTGTCTTTATATATTAAGCAAAGAAGAGAAAATATACTTGGTACTAGTCTTGCATAGCTTGATACCATTCTCCTAGGTTCTTTTTTTGTGTTCAAATATTTTAATGCTGCAACAGTCACTCGTGATTTTTGAGTGTGCAATGGAAGGATTTATCAAAATGGATTAATGTACAAAACCAGTAGGAGACGAGTCATTTATTTAGAGAAAATAGAGTGGTATGTCTGTACTTTGTGAACAAGTCTAAATGGTAGTAACAGAAGGAAGGCAGGGTAATTTCTTGCATGGAAAGAACTGTGGATAAGAGTTGTAGGGACTCAATGCTGGATGGAAGATGAGTTCAAGCATCTGAAGGAAAAAAAACATTAGAAAAAAATAAACAACAATCCTCATGATCTGGCCCAGGAGTTAAGGCTGGAGTGTTTCAGTTAATAACTAGACATATTTCTATGGCTTTTTTTTTTTTTTCTGGGTTATTTTGGATGTGAATTGTCATCTTGAAGTATTTTTTCTCTAATTAATTAATTTTAAAGCACATGTATTACTGAGGTTCCTGTATTTCCTATGTTTAAAGCTGTTGAGCCCAAAGCTCCATGAAATTAATTAAAACATGGTTGAGAATATGATACTTCAAGAATTATGGCAGAATTGCTTTAAAGTAAAATAATACTAAATTCAGCATCTTTTAAGACTCACTTCATGTCAGAATGACACAGTTATCAGGTCCCATATGAAATCAGGGGTCATGGGTGCATCTGTCCACCTAAAACAATTCCATGGCCTTCGAGCATTAACAAATGCCCTCTAGAAGGCAGCAGACAAGGGTCCATATCCATATCTTCTCAAGCACCAGACTGCAGGCACTGCTGAAGTGAAGTGTGTCCGTTATACTGAGTGGTCCATACAGAGCCATCACACCACAAAGCAGGAAATAAAGGAGATTTGTGACAAACCAAAGGAAAAAGTGAGTGAAGGGAAATTAAATGTGTTAAAAGAATTTCCTAAAGAAGGGAAGAAAGCAGAGAGGGAAGCAGAGAACAGTGTCTGTGTTAAGGGCTTGCACTCATCCCCCTCCCTTCCATCCCTCCCTTGCAACAGCCTGGGCAGTGAGCAGCACCTGAGCAAATCCCCCTTTTCTGCTTCTAGACTTGCAAAATTGCTCCTCTGCTGGTCCCAGAACAGCAGCAGAGGTGTGTTGCTCCTTCACACTACTCTTACTTTGAGTCTGTCCCTTTTCTCTGGCTGTTGAGGAGAAGACTCATCCCTGTACTGTGAGTAGAATGGAAAAGAACTAAATCCATTGATTTTGGTTTTGACTTAGTTCATCACAGAGTCAGTGGAAATCATAATGCAGTATAGTATCAAACATCTTGTTGACAATTCGGCTGCCTCTTGAAATACAAATATTTCAACATGAACGAAAATAAAGACAACTTGAATTTCAAACAAGCCACTGTCCGTGTTCTCTGTCCTCTGGTGCAATAGCTGCTGCTGCTTCAACAGGGAGATGGAAAAGATAATTATACTCCCTTCCTAGGATTTTCACATCAGTTCCTAGGATTGAAGTGAATGATTTACAGTTTAGCTGGAGGAAGAGGAAATCCTTTGAACCATTATCCCATTTGAAGCAGAAAGCTTCAAAGACTTCAGATGTCTATTTGTACAGAAAAGCTGGATGTAAAGGCTATGCAGGGAACCAGATAAGACTTGGTGCTTGCTGTTTGTCAGGTCTAAGGAACTTGGAGCAGAAAGGAAAGAAAGAGGACAGCTAACTTTTATCACAAGGCTAGCTATCCTGTTTTGTTATTTATTTTTATCTGATCATGCTATATTTGTGTTAATCATTTGTCTGGTTGTCTGAGGAGCAGGCTGCTTCAAAACAGCACTGCATCCCAAACATATTAAAAAGCCAATTCCTTGTCAAACACTAAGAGGCAACTTTGTTGTTTACAAGAAAGGTTTTCAGGTATCCAGAATGACTTGATGCCTGTGTAGTGACACAAAGAGTGACTTCTGTCATTGCCAGCTATCAAAGAAGGGTCTGGCACTACATACTTTGGGGATCCCTGAATACTCTGGATAAGGGGAAGTGACAGTGACTGGAGTAGGAGAAACATAAGACTCAGAGGATTTCAGGCCTCTGCTGAGAAGAATGGAGTTGCAACGGGGACCCTACCACTTTAAACAAGATCTCAGGGACAGCCAGTGTCAAAACAGAGGAAAGTGTTGGAGGTAAACATGCCAATACACCTGCTGATGAGAAATCCAGTCTTCTGACTTTTTAGGCAAATACCATGCAAAGCTCATACAGCAAAAATCATGCAGAGCTTTTCATACAACTAAAATACCTCCTGTAACTGAAGAAGAGTGGCCCAATCTACACTGCCCATTGAGAAGCGCCCTGTCCCTCTTATCAGGGACCTAATAAAGTATTCTGAATTCTGGTTGCTGGCTGATATCTGCCACTCTGGTAGCAGAGTCAGACATAAACATATGACTCAGTCAGCACTTGAACACATGATGTTGTTTAGAAAATGCTTCCCTAAAAGCATTTCTACGGCATGCTTTTGGAAGAGGTTTCTTATGTAAGGAGAGTAGCTTATCCTTGATGTTTTCAGGTAACTCAATGGATTTTTAATTGCATGGTTACATAGTGTGGAGGAGTGCTAGAAGGCCACAGGTCCTTTTTCTGCATAATGATGACTTGATAACAACTGTAGCTTTTTTTTAATTTTTATATTTACCTTTCTGTTGAAAGCCAAGTTTCACTCACTTACACAAACCTTCTCAGAAATCTTAGGAAGGAAAAAGAAGTATTTTATAGTTAATCGTACAAAGAAGTAGTCATGAACTACGGACTATAAATTCATTAAATGAGAACCTCATCTTTCACTAAATTGACCTTCTTAATGAAAAAGTTTTGAATGCAGCTTGGCAGTTATTAACCTTCTAAAAATTAATATCTCCTCATGGCTGATTTTTTACTTTCAGCTGAATACGTTTCCTCCTATCTGATGATGCGGATGAAAGGGTCCCAACCTCTGGAAAGGAGAGGGAACAAAAAACACAATGCTAAAAGAAAATATTTTGCTACCTAGACCTTGCTCTGCCCAGGTGTATTGTTCTTCTTTTTCACCTTTGCTGGCTTTGCCTCTGCCCCTGGGCATGGGCCTGTGTTTCCCAGGGCAGAGGCAGAGGCAGAAGCACAGGGACATCTCCTGCCTCCAGCAAGCTCCCTTCCAATTGCTATCTCTCTTGTTCTGTTCTTGCTGGGTGCTTGCAGATCTTATTTTAAGGTGATTTATTGCTCAGTTTACATGATACATCCAGCAATCTGCATCATTTTAAACTTACAGAATCACGCAGAATCACAGAATGATAGGGATTGGAAGGGACCTCAGGAGATCACCTGGTCCAACCCTCCCTGCCAAAGCAGGGTCACCTAGGGCAAGTTGCACAGGAGCAGATCCAGGTGGGTTTTGAAAGTGTCCAGAGAAGGAGACTCCACAACCTCTCTGGGGAGCCTCTTCCAGGGCATTGTCACCCTCAAAGTAAAGAATGTTGTTTCTGATGTTGAGTTGGAACTTCCCGTGTTCCAGCTTGTGCTTATTGCCCTTCATCCTATCACTGAGCACCGTTACAAAGAGACCAGCCCCATCTTCTTGACACCCACCCTTCAGATATTTATAAGCATGGATACGATCCCTCTCTCAGCCTTCTCTTCTCCAGGCTAAACAGCCCCAGGTCTCTCAGCCTTTCCTCCTAAGAGAGATGTTCCAGTCCCTTAATCATCCTCATAGCTCTCCGCTGGACTCTCTCCAGTAGTGCCCATGAGAACGTATACTTTTTTCTTTCTTTGTTTGCCAGAGAAGTTGTCCATTTTAAAATTAATCCCTAGCTTCCATTTAGACTTTATGCCACAATCTGTCATATCAGACTTTGCTGTAAAAATTTTGAAAATCACAGATGTACTAAATTGACAAGTAACTAGTAAATTTTCTGGTTGGCTAGCAACAACCCAAGGATTTTCTTCTTGATTAATCTGATTCATCTGAAATGAAGGGTATCACACATCCATGTTGATTAAATTATCTAAAATTGTACTTTTCCAGGTAAACTCTTAAAGATACTGTCAAAATTCGACATGCAGTCACTGGTATTATATCCCAGAAAGACTTTCCCCTAATATACTAATATATTATAAGTTTCCCCTAATATATTATAAGTTGCTAGCATCACATGTTGCCTTTCCATGTTCCATGTTTCACAGTTACTGTTTTGAGGAACCCAGAAAGGAATTTGCAGTGTGAAAGTAGATGTGTGGCTGTGCATAAAACATGTCCTGATCAGCTTATCGAGATGCAGCTGAACAGTGAGCAAAACCAGCCATCAAAGCCCTTAGTCTGACAGCCCAGCATCTATTTTTGTCGGTGATAAACAGATGTCAGTGGTGAGGTTCTGTACACAAAACCAGCTCTTACCATTTTTGTTCCTAATTTTTGTATTAAAAGTAGGCCAGACAGGATGACACTTGAATAATTTTGGTGGTGAAATATGTTACTAAGAATTTTCTTAAAAATCTAGTCAGTACAGCCACAGTGGAATTGACTTGCCTTACAAATATTCTGTAAAGGATTTTCTTTTTCTTCCATTTCTTTTCTCCTGGGTGTGCTGTGTGTCAAGACGAAACCTGGTGTCATTCGTCCCGTGCTGGTGAAAGGAAAGAGTGCACAGCAAAAGGAGGAGCCCTATCAACCCAATCCTTTTAAAAAGTACCTTGAAGAAATCAGTGATCAAGATACTGAGCAGGTGAGTAACTCATTCTGAAGGAATTCCTAGCCTCAGCTAGTTTCCTTGAAGACGATGGAATAATCTTAGATCCTTATTTTTTTCTAGTATTTTCTTTTCCCCCCCAAGTTAGATGATTCTCTGAGGGGCATCTGGCTCCTGGAGGTGAGTCTACTGGCTAGAGATGGACAGCTTGGCTTTCTACAGGGACATTTCTCTTTTCATGATCTAAACCTCTGCATGTTTTTATGATGTCTGTAGGAAACACTGTACAAAAGAAAGTAGAATTCCTGTGCTCCCCTGTCAAGCAGGTGCCTGCATCAGATCTGCCAGAAAGCGCTTCCTCCATTTGAGGGTCCAGACCTCAATCCTCTCTAAAGAGAAATGAGGACAGGAAGGACTGGGCAAGGTTCACTATTTTCTCTCCAAAGGAGACTGCAGAGTAGCCCCAGTGAGTTTCCATGTCACTCCTCAGTGTATAGTTCTCTCAAGTCTGTATTCATGACCCTCCACAGCTTGAGGGGACAGGTCTTCTGCTAGATGAGGGACTTTAACAGGCAGCCCATGGGGCATAGAAAGTGCTGTCTTCTCCCATAGACCTCTGCACAAAACCATGGGAACACTTGGCAAAAACACACCTTTAACTTCGCTGACCTGTATGAAGCATCATCCCAGAGCAGCCCCAGATAAATGGTTCTATCAGCCTTTTCTTGTCCATTTGTGTTTATGTACCTCACTGCAAATTAAACCTTAAGTGATATATAATCTTTTAGGAGCTTATTATTGACCTATCCAGTATGTTCATATTCTTCCATCTGGAGGGTGGTAAAATGAAGCCAATAGTCCTCTTGTCAGACACAATGTGAACAAATGATCTTATTAATTGAATTTCTCTTACTATTATGCCTCTAGTCACATACTTTGGCGATGACAGTCTTCTCTTCTTCCTTTTATAACTGAATTTTTAAAAAGTTTTCATTTTAGTTTTTTTCCATTCTTGTGTTAGTATTATTCCAGCAACACATATAGATGTCATCAGAAGGTTTCTCCTTCTGTGGTTTTCTATAGCTTGTAAAGATTCTGTAAAATATAAAAAAAAATTAATACAAAATAAACACAAATTATGATTTACAATTTGTCTCTCAACTTTTGAAGTCAACAGTGAATATTTGACTTCAGACACTACAGGTGAGTTCACAGTGAATTTTTAGTGCTTTAATTTACTGAAAACTTTCTGATGCTAGGGCACTGTTCTGCCATCCACCTGGGATGAAAGAGCAGGAGAGCTGACCTTAAATGGCTGCTAGAGAACTTCTGGTCTAGGCCACCTCAGTGGGGTCTTTCTGCAAAGGCAGGAGCAGCTTACAGCTCCCTTTCATCAGTGCTGGACACTGATTCTGCTGTCTATAGTTTTGCTCATGAAGGAATGATGAAATCACCAAATTTTGTATTTTCAGGCAAATACAAGTCTAGGGTTATTGCCGTAGTTTGAAGCTTTCTGAAATTTGAAGCTAATTGTGAAAAACAAATAACCAAATGTGACTGTTAAAAGTAAATTATTTTATATGTCATATGTCTTAAAATGAAATAAATAGTGTACTGACTTTCACAGATGGAAAAGTTCATTTTACAATGAATATGACCAGTTTTGCTTCCATTATTTAAAAGAACAATGCCATATGATACAAAGTATTGACAAATTGGTATTTTCATCCTAACCTAAGAAATACTGCAGGTTGCTGTAAAATGCTTGTTACTTTGGGAGATCTCTGTTAAGACATCTATGTTCTGAAAAAGGAAGCACTTAAAGTTATATTGAGATGGATCCATTTACTTAATAGAAACTGGCTTTGTTTATGTGAGAAGTGAATATATGGTTCTAGTGGTGGTCTCATGCAACAATTAGTGGTCATGGTTTCAGATCTTGCCTCTCAGAGTAGGTTTATGGTGCTAATAAAAATCCCTTGTGAGTGGAGAAGACTTGGATGCCCACATGAGGATGTTCACAATCTTACAGCATCTCCTGAGGGGTTTTAGTGCCTGTAAGGGGGCTGAAGCACTGCCTGTGGAACTGGGCTCAGTGCCCAGCTTGAAAACTGCTGTGGTTGATTCTAACCACGGGGTTGTTAACCTATAAGGACCCTCATTCTCTGTCTTACTCGCTTTCGGTAGTTGGCATTTCTGACTGGCGTTCGAAGAGTGGGAGATGTTCCCACCAATATGATGCTAAAATCAGGTAAATTGACTTCTTTCATGGGATATGAGAGCTGTGGATTAAATCTAGGAGACTGGCAGCTTGGCTTTCTTCTTTTTGAAGAAGAGCTGATGCTGGTCCATTTGTCCTCAAACAAGAACCTAGCAGGCATCTACTGTGGCTGAGGGCAAAACTGCTCATACTGTTATTGACTTTGCCTCGGGTTTTTTTTGAGAATTTCCCACTCCTGCTGGGAGGTTAATCTCTTATATTTCGGTTCCCTGCCACTCTGAATTTTCTTTTCCTTTCTTTCTAATACCTAATTGCTAACAACATCCTCCCCAGGTGACGTTCTGATGGAACTAGTCACAGCTCTCATCACAAATTTTCTGGGTCTTGAGCTCAAAGGCACAACACACAAGGGACTTTCTGTTCTAGACTCAGACAGAAAAATGGCTGAGAATTAGGGATATATTGTGTCCACGACCTTGACAAAACCTAAGCACAAGGTTTGTGCCAAACCTGGCTCCTTGACTCTACTTTAAATCTTTTCAAAATGATTTTTTTTTTTTTTTAAAAAAGTATTTTATTGTTTAGGTGCAAAAATCACATACTCTTTTGTTTTTTTTTTTTTTTAAAAACCAGAAACACTATTAACTAATAACTTGCAGTAGTTAAATATATTGTTTATGTATCTTTATTGTTTTAACCTTTAAGTGGCTGAATAGGCTTGTTGGAATCTTGTTAAAAAGCCTGGAAGTGTTGCTGCTAGTACATAGGTAAGACAATCTGTTTTCAGATTGTCTGAGAGATACAAAAGAAAGTCTGAGTGTCCTAAACCATGGTCATTTTATCCTAGCACAAGATCCTTTGGGGCTTTTTTTTTTTCTCTCACTTGAGCATCAGCTGAGCTGCAGGAGGGAGATTGACTGAACCCCCGATGAAGTGTAACTGATTTAAAGGGACATTAACGGCAGGTTTTTGTGTGTACTTTCATGATGATGAAAGTGCTTAGTGTAGAGAAATTGTATTGGCATGAAGGTAGAGTATCTTTTCTAATCATCAAACTCTAAGAAATATAAAAAAGGAGGAAGACAAGCACTTTGTTTCCTGTCCAGAGCTTCGTCCCCTCTGCATCCTCTGTCTGTGTCCCTCACTGACCGTCTATACTCTGGACCTTTCAGTCATTTGTCTTCCAAAGCGTGTGATGTTCATGAGAATCCTTATAGCCCTTACAGTCGCAACTCTTTGTACAATAAGGTGAGCATCAATTGTGATGTGAGTTAAGAGTTTTGTGAGACTCTTATCTTTTTAATTCCAGGCAGAATTCAGCTGAGTCACTAGGATTCAGTGCTTACAGGTGCTCTGGGAAGTGCATCTGGATGTGAGCCTGTGTCTCCAGAGCCCCTGGAGATACTACTGCTTTTCATTCCCTGACACAGCTTGTGCTCGGGCTTGCTTCCTCCAGACCAGCTAAGACAGGGCTCCCATCACTTTTCATTCAAGCTATTTGTTCTCTAGAGGAAGAATAATCTATTTCATCCCTCATGCTCAGATTACTCTTAACATTACACATACTAAAATAATGGGCTATTTCTTTTTTCTTGGTGACTGAGGGAAGGGAGGCTAACCTGAGAGAAATACAGGCTTTTCCAGTGGCTATGTCTGCCATCCTGACAAGCAATTGCCTCTTGACAATGCAGAGGGAACCATACCCTTGCTGACACTAGTGTCTTCTCTGAAAGAGCAGTGAAGTTGGACAAGTTGTCTGTGGTCCGAGGTGTGTGAGTGACAGGGCTGGCTGATGAGTTTCAGAATGTGAAACTGATCCCCGTGTCTTAATGGAAGTCCTTTTGAAGAGCAGTTGGCATGAGGTATTTACAATAACTTGAGAGAGACCCTGTCTGATGTTAGAAAAGCACCAGTTGTGGAAGTCCATAGCAGGTGCTGCTTTTACCTTCCAGATGCATCCCTCCCATGCCCTCTTTCCTAACATGGATTCTGGCCACAAATGCTCAGGAGAGACAATCCCATTCCAAGGTATACAGTATGCTTTATTTGGGATGCAACTGGTTAAAAAATAGACATGAGGTGCTGTTTCTCTGGGCTATCTCATGGTTTCCTCATCAGGGGAAGTATTAGGGTGAAATACAAATTTCCAGTTTCAGACATAATGGGAACCAAGACTGCTTTGGAGAGAAGTATCACCTCTGCAGAGAATGTATGTTGGTCAGCTGTCACACTTGGAAGAAATGCCTGGAAATACCTTTCTGTCTCCATTGACTAGAAACAAAATTTATCTGAAGTTGGCCTGTTCATCCTGTGGGATATATAGAATGTACCACTTTACCCACTTAACAGAATGGACCAAAACTGAAAGTATACAAAACCTTCCATTCTGTATTTGAGGCATCCTGAACAAAAGCACCTTTTCACAACTGCTAGACTGAGTTTTGTTCTTTTTCAGTTTTTACTGAACTGGGCTGACCTGTTTGTTTAGGCAGCAATGATTTTATGGTCAAGTATTTTTTGACAGGTTTCCTGGTTCATAGCAGGGCATTCATATGAACAAAAAACCCCAGTTCATATGACCACTGGAGCCAGTTTTTTTAATGAAAATGGGTATTTGCTGCCTCTAATGAAAATACTGCTAGAAACCCAGAAATTTGTATAGGAAGGTGGATAAGGCAGGGAAAACATTGTCTGAAGATAATTAGGATAGTGTAATATTTTGGTATATCATGCTACTTGTTTTCTCAAACAGGGATATTCTTGCTGAATAATTTCTGAAGTAAGGAAATTTTGCTGCTGCTCTGATTTTCTCATAGCACTGTGCACCCAGACCTCCTCTCTTGAGTGCAGAGGTCATAGTACAGCCTAGCCTGTGTATTTGCATTCCACCCATATGGTGATGATTAAGAGGCTTCTTCATTCACAATTTTTTATCACAAGGAACTTGTGTCATTCCAAGCAACCTTTGTAAGCTTTGCAAACTAATGAATGCAGCCACACCTTTCTGATGTTAACAGGTTCTTGCTGTACAATGTAAATAGGAGAGCTACACAGTCTCTTTGATTTCTTCCATTTACCTGTATAACATAAATTTCTTCTCCTGGCTCATTTTTTACTGTCTGCTATTTGCAATGGTATTTCACGTGGTTTTCTTGTAAGCTTCATGCATTTGTAAACAACTTTTATATTTTATACTTATTATGTGTATTTTATATGTATTTTTATCTCCATATTGAACTCTGACTCCATTTAGGTCTGCAACTTCCCAGGATTGGGAAGCATCATTCCTAGCACAGAAATCACTAAAGAGTGCTGTATTCTATCAAAACCAAAGCTGCAACAAAACAGATGATCATTTAATTTTACTTCAGATGCTTCTGCAGCAGCATTTTAAATGGCTATATCATCAGGGAGCTAATTGGGAGGGCTGTGTTTTAGATGAGGCCTTAGTACTGACCTATTGTGAGAATTTAAGCAAAAAAGTTCATCCATTTGGGCTTCTGGCTGACTTCCCACTGCCATCCCTCTCATCACATAAGTGAAATAAGCTCCTGACCTTGGTGAAGACCACATACAATGGTAATGCTTGTGCTTCTCCAAAGGCATCCCCCTAACTTAGTTAATGTAGCAAGTAGTCTCTTCCACCCCATAAAAGTCAGTGAAAATCCAAAAAAAAATATGACGTTAACCATGATTAGGAAACAAAACCAAATAATTAAGTCTTCTGAAGAAGTATTGGTGGGAATGACAGATTTTTGAGAGAAATATCCTTTTTGAGACTTCTCTGGAGAATGTTCAATATAAGTCAATCTACCATTGTTTCCTAGTGCTTAAAATAATTTGAATTATTTAATTATCTGCACCGATTTTAAAATCTCAGCCAATAAAGATCAAATTAATTGATATAAAATGAGAATTCAATTGCCAGAGGTAGGTAAATTTTTTAAACATTACTGGTAGTGCTAGTAAATAACTTTCGTAAAATGTATTTTACTTCTGAACTGATGTCACTCTCTAGGTAGGTGTGCCCCAATACTTTAAGAAACAGAACAATCAGATGTCAATACTGGACTAGTTTAGTACAAACAGAGGCCTGTTTACATTAGAAGTAAATATTCACCACTTAAAATATTTTTTTTTAATATTTCTTTTTTGGTCTGTAATATTAACATTCTTTGATAACCAAAGAGAGATTAATGATTTCAGACTTATTCACATGATCAATATTTAACATTTGAGTCAACGTAATGTTGACAAAAACTCTGTCAATAGTTGCCTATTATTTCTTGCAATAACCCTGTCTCCTGCACCACCCAACTACAGTCTGAGTTGTTAATGTTTTAAAAAAGAAATTACTTAATTTATTGTCATAAATAATCCAAGTAACAGCAAACGTAAATGAGTAGACACAGTATCAAGTGCTCAAATTTCAAACTGTTAGAGACCAGTTCCATAAACAACTTCCTGACATCATGGGAGTTTCTTTCCATTCTCTACTAAACCTGGACTGTCATAATTGTAAATTCCCTCCTCTCCATTTCTCATCCCTTGGGATCAGGGATACTATGTGCTGTGACTCACTTGCCGTCTCTCCAGCCATCCAGTAAGCACACGGTGGGTTCCATATGGCGTGTATACATACATTACTGTTCTAACTATATGTTGTATTTTGCTTCATCTTCCACTAGAGGGCAAAACTCGCTGCCATAAACACAGTCGTATGTTGTAAATACACGACTGAGAATGGACAGGATATGCCAGTGAATGGAGCTGCTACTCTTCACCTGCACTTTAGCTAAAAAAATGTCTTAAGTGTTCCCTCAGGAATGGGACATGGGAAAAAAACAGAATCATAGAATCACTGTGGTTGGAAAAGACTCATTGAATCCAACTACTAACCCTACTCTACTGTACTCTACCAAATCCCGAGCACCACATCTACACAGCTTTTAAACACATCCAGGGATGGTGACTCCACCACCTCCCTGGGCAGCATGTCCACCTGTGTCTAATGTTAGCAAGGCTAGATATGGTGAGCTTCTAAACCAAGAATAATTTCATTTATTGGCTCAAGGAATAAGAAAATAGCAGCTCTCTCTGTCTGAAATGTTTTACTGAAAGGACACTCTGGTGATGTTTGGGCAGAGTGGACCCAGTGCCATGTTGTTTTCATCTGAAACTCAACCAAGTACCTGAGTCTTCATAGGTGATGGAATTACACAGATGAAGCTGAAAGATATAGATCTGGCAGGTTTTGTAGATTACACCTGTTCAGAGAAATGAAATCCATAAACTGTGCCCCAAATCATTTCACAATGTGGTTTTAGCTTTGATGGGAGGAGGCAGCAGGAACACAGGTATTGTGTCTTTCTGCTTGGAGAAAAGCAGAGACAGCTCTCTTATCTGTGCACAGGCTGCTTCTGAAGCAAAAACGTTGCCCATTCAAGTGGGCTCATTCAATTCACATTGGCCTTGTCATCTGCCTTGTCCTCTCCTTCCCCACTCTATACCCGGGCGCCAGGTGCTGCTGCTTTTGTTTACACTCCTTGGTCTTGAATAATTAAATGAGTTGAACTTTTTATTAGGGAAAAAAGTTCTTTTTCCTTTTGATTGGAATAAAACAGCTCAGGAAGGTGAACTTGAGTACAACTATTGCAGTGAATGAGAGCCTGAGGTAACATTTAGCTCTGTGGTTAACTTCAAAGCATGCTTCCGCTGGGAATCCCTCCAGCCTTTAACAGAGGACTGTGTAGAGTGGAAGAGCACAACTCTACACCTGGAGTACTATGTCCCTGCAATTAAAAAGAGATTGGAACAGACTGGAGAGAGTCCAAAGGAGGGCCAAGATATCAAAGGGCTGGAGCACCTGCCCTGTGAAGAAAGATTGAAAGATTTAGGTGTTTCCTCCATGGAGAAGAGAAGGCTCTAAGGGGACCTTGTCACAGTATTCCAGTATTTAAAAGATGGCTTACAAAAAAGATGGAGGCTCTCTCTTCACAGGGAACCACATAGTGAAGACAAGGGATAATGGGTACAAATTGCACTGGGAGAGGTTTCACCTTGTTATGTAAAAGAATTGTAATGTAAAAGATTTTTTACAGTGAGAACAATCAATCACTAGAACAACCTCTCCAGTGATGTGGTGGAATCCCCATTGAAGAAGATTTTCAAGATGTATTTGGACAGGCTGCTAAATAACCTTATCTAGTCTCCCTTTCTACAAAATGTTGGACCCTTCCAACTTGAAC